AGCCAGCCCAGCATCCAGAATTTGCTTCAGCAAACCAAACCTCCTCCAAAATATGCGGTCTGTGGGATTGTTAATTGTGTCTCCTCACCTCCACACTGAGAGGTGTACATGCATGTGCCCCTACTTCTAGATCAGTTAGACTCCTGGTCACATTGAGTGCTTGCTACTTGCCAGGAACTATTCTTTTTTTTGTTTATTTTCAGTTAAGGTGTAATTGACAAACAACATTATATTCGTTTCAGGTGTACAACATAATTCAATATTTGTATATATTCAATATTTGTATATATTGAGAAATGATCACCACAATAAGTCTAGTTAACACCCATCACCACACATAGTTAACAGATTTTTTTTCTTGTAATGAGAATTTTTAAGATTTTTTCTCTTAGCAACTTTCAAATACACAATATAGTATTATTAACTATAGTCACCATGCTGTACATTACATCCCCATGACTTATTTATGTTATAACTGGAAGTTTGTAATTTTTGACTCCCTTCACCCCATTTTGCCCACCTCCCACCTCTAGCAACCATCAGTCTGTTCCCCATAACTGTCAGCTTGGTGTCTTTGTTGTTGTTGTAAATTCCACATAAAAGTAAGATCATATAGTATTTGTCTTTCTCTGTCTAACTTATTTCACTTAGCGTAACACCCTCAAGGTCCATCCACTTTTGTTGAAAATGGCAAGATTTCATTCTTTTTTTTTTTATGGCTGAGTAGTACTCCAGTCTGTGTATATATCACACGCATATATATATCACATCTTTTCTATCCATTCATCCATCAGTGGACACTTAAGTTGCTTCCATATCTTGGCTATTGTAAATAATACTGCAGTGTACATGGGGGTGCAGATATCTTTTTTTTTTTAAAGATTTTATTTATTTATTTGACAGAGAGAGAGCAGGACAGCAGAAGCACGGGGAGTGGCAGAGGGAGAGGGAGAAGCAGGCCCCCCGCCAAGCAGGGAGCCCGACACGGGGCTCGATCCCAGGACCCTGAGACCATGACCCGAGCTGAAGGCAGACGCCCAATGACCGAGCCACCCAGGTTTTTGAGTTAGTGTTGCCTTTTTTTTTTTTTTAAGTAGGCTCTATGGCCCACATGGGGCTTGAACTCATGACCCCAAGATCAAGAGTTGCATCCTCTACCAAGAGCCGGGTACCCCTGAGTTAGCATTTTTGTTTTCTTCACCAGGAACTATTCTTAGGGCATTGCATATATTAACTCATTTAATCCTCAGAACAACTCCACAAGGCAGGTACATTTTACAGATGAGCGAACTGAGGGAAAGAGAGCTAAATGACTTGCTCAGGATCATGTAGTTAGGAAGAGGTGAAGCCAGATTTGAACTTGGGCAGTCCGGTTCACGTTGGCTGCAGGAAAGACAGGGAGAAAGGTTATTTCAGCTTTTCCAGCTTCTAAAGTAGAGACAGGCAGGAAAAGAAGGGGGTGGAAGATGTTGAATGAGTCACCTACCATGTCTGCCAAATCTGGTCAGTTTTTTTTTTTTCCCCTCTGTTATTAACTGTCTCTTCCTGCCTGTCATGGCTTCGCACATGCTTCAAACACTCCTCCAGTGTCAGACTCATTGTTTCACACACCCACATCTTTCAGAAGACTTGCAATTTCATTTTGAAATTGATTGCATTGTAGCCTTCATAGTCACCGATGTCATCTGAAAATGGCAGATACGTTGACAATCCCTGACCGCCGAGGAGAGACTGACCATAGTCTTTGATTGATAACTGGTATGGATACTAGTGTGCTCGGGGAGGGATGTTTGAAGAAGGGGTGATCTCAACAGATGGGCATCTCAAGAGCGTATTTTCTATACCATAAGATACTTGCTTTCTTACATAACCTGGTATCCCAGATTCTTTAATAACGAGTACGAAGATTGATGTAGGAAAGACGTTAGGGTTAGAAGCCAATGGCCAAGAAAGAATTCTTGAGAAGTCTTTGGTGAAAAAAGGTAGTGGTTCATTATATACTTTCAAGTTGGGGCAGGGGTTAGGGATAGCGTAAGTCTCTAAGGAATTTAGAAGCAAGGTTTCCAGGACCTTAAGGGGGCTAGCTATTGTTGGGAAATGGTCATTTATTACGGGCTAATAAAACCTGAGTCATGAGACCCTTCAGATGTATATTGGTGAGCCATATGCTTGGGGGATGATTGCCAACACATATCTTTGAGGGGGGAGGTTTAGAGATAAATGAAATATCTAAAGGAATTTTTATATGTTAAAGTAGACTTACAGGATCCTGAGGGTCAGGCTAAGATTGCCTTTTGCCCTTAGCAAAGTATTAACATCGAAGCAGTTGAGTCCCTAGAGGAAAGTCACTCTGCCTGTTTCAAGGACTTGTCAGTGGGCTGTAGGTAGTAAGGAAATTTAATAATTTTTCTTCTGCTTTTGTTTCCCACATCAGGATCCAAGAACTTGAATACAGCACCAAAGTAACCTAATCCTTTCTTTCCTCCCCAGTCCCATGTCTGCCTTAAGGAGGATATTCAGGGGCACCTGGGTGGCCCAGTCGTTAAGCGTCTGCCTTCGGCTCAGGTCAGGATCCCAGGGTCCTGGGATTGAGCCCAGCGTCAGTCTCCCTGCTCGGCGGGGAGAAGCCCAGCTTCTCCCTCTCCCACTCCCCCTGCTTGTGTTCCCTCTCTCGCTGTGTCTCTCTCTGTCAAATAAATAAATACAATCTTAAAAAAAAAAAGGGTATTCAAAGAATGTTGGGAATATTTAACAATGACGACAAGAAAACCCTGTAGGTTTGAGGCCCACTGGGCTCGCAGGCTCATCCATTCCTCAGGCCTCCAGGCTTCCCTTCTGTCCATGGCTGGCTGTGATGTCTGTCCTTAGACACAGCTCTCCTTAACCCACTGCCACTGTGGCACAGAAGCTGACCAATGTTGCCGCCCCCCTGCCGACTGACCTGGGCACAAATCCTCCACCTGTTGATGCTGGTGTCTTCCCAGCTGCTGGAGCTGCTCCCAGGGTGAAGAAGGTCTTCTTTCATGATGTTTCACAATTCATTTTTTTAGTCCTGGCATAGTGACATCAACCCTCCATCTCCTGCGACTCTCTCAAGATGATGAGACAATTTGTCTCTGGGTAGATTTGGAAGAATTTTGGGTGGGACCAGACAGCATCTAACCCTCTATTAAAAGATAATTAAAATCATCACACACACACACACAGTTCACTCTTGAACAACATTGGTTTAAACTGCATGGGTCCACTTATACACGGATTTTTTCAATAAATACAGTAGAGTACTGTACTATAAATGTATTTTCTCTTCCTTATGATTTTTCTCTACTCACTTTATTGTAAGAATAATGTAGATATATAACATACAAAATATGTGTTAATCAACTGTTATCATAAGGCTTCTGGTCAACAGTAAAGTTTTGGGGGGAGTCAAAAGTTACGTGTGAATTTTTTTTTTAAGATTTTATTTATTTATTTGAGAGAGAGAGAATGAGAGAGAGAGAAAGCACATGAGAGGGGGGAGGGTCAGAGGGAGAAGCAGACTCCCTGACAAGCAGGGAGCCTGATGCGGGACTCGATCCAGGGACTCCAAGATCATGACCTGAGCCGAAGGCAGTCGCTTAACCAACTGAGCCACCCAGGCGCCCCACGTGTGGATTTTTGACTGTGGGTGTCAGTGCCCCTAACCCCGGTGTTGTTCAAGGATCAATTGCATGTATATGCTAAAGGTTTAATTTTGCTCATTAATCAATGAAGGAACCAGGCAGGCATTATAACTCTAAGAACGGATGTGTTTATAGATCAGAAATAGTGACATTAATACGTAAACGGAAGCAAACTGGTTTTTCCACAGGGGCTAGGGAAATCAATTCGACCTCTCTCAGGACAAAATTTGCATGTTCATGAGAACATTTTGCATTGCTATCAACTACTTACAACTGAAAAGGTTGTAAAATAACTCAAAGCCATGGAGAGATTAGAACCAGAAAATCGGAGGCTGTCTTTCCGTCCGCGCCGGGTTTCCCAGGAAGCACGATGCTCTTCTATGGCCCTCGTCTCTCTCCCTTAATGGCCAGCTGATACCGTGCACGGTCCACAGCGGGACTGCCTTAATGCCAGGTTCCCGGGATTAACCGGAGCTCCCACATTGGTTTTTTCCCGTTTCTCCCAGGGCCACTGGTTTTCCTCAGTAAACGGCGCTCCTGGAGTCGTGCCAGAGTCCTAATATGGGGCGTGGAGCTCAGGTCTCCCCAGGAACGCTCGCCCAAAATTGGATGCTTCATTCGTATTGCTGTATTGGGGGAGGGTGTGGCTTGAGGATTGGTGGGGAGAAGCTACGGGAAAGACTGGATAGGATCACGTTGTGAAGCATCTTCTGTGCCACACTACAGATTTTGGTCTGGACCCCAAAGGCAATGGAGAACAGCCACAGTCTTTTGAATAGATCAGTGCAGTGATCAGGGCTGGGTTTTGATGAGATAACTGGAGGTGGCATGTCTTAGCTTATGGAATTGTCTTGAGTGAATGGAAATGACTTTTAGAGAATTTTCTGCCCATCACAAAGACACACCTTCCACTATTCTCTTCAAACTATCTCTAGATTTGTCCTGCTCTCCCGTCCTGCCTCCTTAGAGCTTCCCTTTCTCCAACAGCCCCTAAGCTAGGAGAACACTCAACCACTGTCCAACACTGTGACTCAGTCTGAAATGCTTAATAGGATTCGTGCTCTGTGCAAAGATTCTATACAGTTTTAGGAACCAGGGTGTCAAAGGCAAATAAACCTGAACAAATAAGGTAAGGAAACTGACTTTAGTCAGACTGTTGCAATAGAAAGAGCCTTCTAGATGTCAAGATCAATGTCACTGCAGGTTTCCCCTAAGACTTTTTATAGGGAGGAGTACGCAAATTATAGGTGAGGTGATCTTACAGGGGGAGTTGCTTCTATCTTCAGGGGAAGCCCCAGTCAGTCAGCCGATCAAAAAAAAAAATTATATCTGTGTCTAGTTAGTGGGGTTTTTTTGGGGTTGGTGGTGTAGGGGCCAAGGGCAGGCTGCCTTAAGATAGCCCACTATGGCATGCAGATTATGCTGAACTGAACACAATCAAGACTCAAAAGACTCAGGAAGAAACTTTTTGCTCCCCCACAATTACTTTGAAGAATTTAGATAGAGGCCCTGCTCCAGGAAGAGAACTGTCACCACAGATAACTACACTAGCACATGAACTAGGTAAGAGAGACAGGCAGGAACATAGCAAGGCCTGTGGGATCAAACTCCTAAGTCCCATGGCTTCTGAGTGGCCCGGCAGATGCTTGTTGACCAGACATTTACTCTTTTTCATTGTCCTTCGAATTGCATTCCTTCCCTTTGAAGTCCCAGACCCCTGCCCCCTTCTCCTTAGTTCAGAATGACATATATTTGCCTGAGTGTCTTTGGAATTTCCATGTCTGTATGGATTCTCCATACATGCAGAATTTTCTTGTTAATCTGTCTCATGTCAATTTGATTCTTAGTCCAGCTAGAAGGATCTTGAAGGCAGAGGTAATTCTTCTTTCCCCAGTGGGGAGGGGTCAATTCATCCGGTCATTTTTGAGACTATTAAAGAGACAACAGGCCCCAAATGGAGTCACCTGTGTAAAAACACATCACCAAACATCATACCCAACCGAACTACAGTTGCAGCCTTTTCCAGGAATATAATCTTAACCAGTCGGTCTGGAATTTCCTGGTCAGCACTAGGGAGGAAATCTGCCTGATAGACCCTTACCATCCCCCAAAGGAAGGTGGCCTTGCCTGAAACAATCCATTCCTTGCTAGTAACATCCTTGACCTGACCCCTTCTGCCTATGAAAATCTCCCAATTTATATAGTTCTTTGGAGCAATTTTCTATTTGTTACATGGGAGGCTGCCCAGTTCATGAATCTTTGAATAAAGCCAAACAGATCTTCAAATTCACTCAGTTGAATTTTGTTTTTTAACTAGATAAAGAACAGGAATTTGAAGGGTCTGTGTCTGGCTCTCTCATGGGTAAACAAGGGAGTGTTTGCATGTCTTAAGGGGAAGGGTAATTCTTTACAGGAGCCCTTTCTAGTAACACAGAAGGGTGGAGGATTTCAGGAAACAAAAGGTTGGGAGGATTAATCTTCCCTGTTTTCCAGAAGAACAGGGATCTGGTAAAGTTCAGTGTTGTCAGTGATTATGGACTTATAAATAAATCAAAGCTCCAACCTTAGTGTAAAGAAATGATACATTATGTCCAGGAGGAAGTTGGAGTGCAGATACCCTGACTCCCAATATTCCAACTCACTCTTTTACAAAGGTTAAGAAATCCAAAGCCTCTCTGTACCACACAAGTCTCATTAACAAATAGGTAGGGGTAGGCACAGATGTAACCTGGAGATCATATACCCCATCAAAAGGGGGGAATGCTCCTGAGCTCCGTGTGTGTAGGAATGAGGGCCCAATATTGAAAGACCTTGTTTTCTTAATTTCAACAAGGGGTTCTGATTATCTGCTTGCTTACATTTCTACAAATAAATTTATTTATACAAAGTATCTAAAAACCTGATGGAAAACCAATTTGTTTTTAACTGAAGTATAGTTGACATACAGTATTATATTAGTTTCAGGTGTACAACATAGTGATTTGACATTTATACACATTAGAAAATGCTCACCACGGTGAGTGTTGTTACCATTTGTCATACAAAGTTATTACAGCATTATTGACTCTATTCCCTCTGCTGTAATTTTTATCCCTGTGACTTATTTATTTTATAACTGCAAGTTTGTACCTCAGTCCCCTTCACCTATTCACCCGTCTTGCCACCTCCCTTTCCTCTGTCAAACCATCCATTTTTTTCTTTGTATTTATGAGTCTGTTTCTGTTTAACTTTGCTTGTTTTGTGTTTTGGATTCCACATATGAGTGAAATCATATGGTATTTGTCTTTCTCTGTCTGACTTATTTCATTTAGCATTATACCCTCTAGCTCCATCCATGTTGTCAGAAATGGCAAGATTTTCAAATAACTTCTCCTAATTTAAGAGTTGAAGCTATCATAAATTTCAGGAAAACACATCAGGAAAATGACAGGCCATCAGTTTGCAACCTCTCATGTAGAAGTTGCCCAGTTGCAAACTCACCTGATCTTACTTTACTCCTTGCGACCGCCCATAAAGGAGGACAGAGCAGCAATGATTCCAAGTTCTGCAGAGGCAGTGACTGATGGCTTAGGGTTCCCCAGCTGGTAAGTAGCCTTGCTCAGGTGGAAGCCAGCTCTCCATGACTGTGCCGGCTCTTGCTGGGGACCACACACCCTCCCTTGCAGTCCAATCCCAAGTCTCCTCTTCTATTAATAGAGAAATGGGAGGAGGGTAGATGTTGTATGAGATAGCCATCATTTTCTCTTTCAATTCTAATATTCTGGGCACCTTCTCTATTTGTAATTCCATCGAGGAATTCAGCAAGTTTGTAAGTTACATCCTAGCTTACTCATTTTAGAAAATAAATTTTTCGTTATTCACTCTCAAGCTGGTCATCTGTTTTTTCAGAAGCTGCTGTCTCCCCATGTGCAGAATCCAAAATGGCAATCAGAGTCGTAAGAGAGACGAAGGTGAAGAACAGACCAAAAAAGGAATAACTATCTTACTGGTCAGCTGGCCAAGGGGCAAGACAAAAATCAGGTACAAATAACAATGGCTTTTAACTCATTGAGTTAACTTTTCTCTTATCATCAAGATAAAACTCAGATTGAAGATGTCCAGAGATAGGATAAGTTTTAGTTTCCAGAAAGTCCCCTTCCGCATCACACGGGTAACAGTTTCCCACTAGTTATCCTATTTATCTGGCTCTTAAAAATATCAGTTGCAATTAGAGATCCTCAGAAAGCCTCAGAAAAGATGACCCTTTAAAAAGTACATTTCATCAAGTGGGAGCTTCTTTTTTTTTTTTTTTTAAGATTGTATTTATTTATTTGACAGAGAGAGACACAGCGAGAGAGGGAACACAAGCAGGGGGAGTGGGAGAGGGAGAAGCAGGCTTCCCGCGGAGCAGGGAGCCCGATGCGGGGCTCGATCCCAGGACCCCGGGATCATGACCTGAGCCGAAGGCAGACGCTTAATGACTGAGCTACCCAGGCGCCCCTAAGATTTTATTTTTAAGTAATCCCTACACACAACATGGGGCTCAAACTTACCATACTGAGAGCAAGAGTCACATGCTCCACTGTCCAATCCAGCTGGGTGCCCTAAGTGGGAGCTTCTGGTCTTCTCTTGTATCCTTGTATTCTCTAGGTCCCTGTCAAAACTTTCAGAGCTAACTGATGTAACAAGATAACGACACTAGCTCAAATGATTTCTGTTTCCTCTTTACCTTGCTTTGCAAGGAGAATTTTATTTTTCCATACTGCGTGAGCAAAGTTTGAGAATCTGGGAAGATAGCCAAGAAATGTCAACCTCTGAAAAACAAAAACTGTGGGAATAAGAAGAATGACATAACTGACTCCTGTGGAAATAACACATTTAAATGATGATGGGTTAGTGGGATGCATTTGACCAGAGCAATGTTTCTCAAAGTGAATTGTAAAAAGAAACCTACAAGAAAGAGTTTCATGGCCACATAATTTCTGCAAGTACTGGATTAAATAATGTTGAAACACATTCATTATTGTAGGGTTTCTCAGAACCTTTAATGTATTGATATACATTGTGAACTTCGAAGAGAAGCAATAGTATGTAGTATTTTCCAAATGTGTTTTACTATGGAATCTTTTTTTTTAAGATTGTATTTATTTATTTGAGAGAGAGAGAGAGAGCACGAGCAGGGGGAGGAGCAGATTCCCCGCTGAGCAGGGAGCCTAAAGCTAGATCCCAGGACCTGAGGATCATGACCTGAGCCGAAGGAGACGTTTAACCGACTGAGCTACCCAGGTGTCCCATGGAATCATTTTTTGTAGACAAATCTACTTTGGCAAGCTCCATACTGGAGTATTTTCTTAATTTCAACAAGGGATTCTGATTTTCTGCTTGTATATATTTTTATAAATAAGTTTATTTATACAAATAAATATTTATACAAGTAAGTCTATACACAAGGTGATTTATACAAATGAATTATAACATGTCTCAGTGTGTGCTGCACTCACAGTTTGAGAAGGAGAGCGGAAAAAGAGAATTGGATAGGAGGGAGAATTTGTGCCAGGCCCTCTAGGTGTTTCTCTATAATGGGTGGGTACTAGTTTGTGAGGGCTGCCATCACAAAGTACCACAGACGGGGTGGCTTACATAACAGAAATTAATTTTTTCCTAGTTCTGGAAGCTAGAAGTCTAAGATCAAGGTATCAGCAGGGTTGGCTTCTTCTTCCTTGGCTTGCAGATGGCCTCCTTGTCCCTGTGTCCTCATGTGGTCTTCCCTCTGTGCTTATTTGTATACTAATCCCCTCCTTTTATAAGGACACCAGTCATATTGGAAGGCAGCCCACCCTAATGACTTCCTTTTATATTACTGACCTCTTTACAGGCCTCACTTCCAAATATAGTCACACTCTGAGGTACTGAGGGTTAAGACTTCAACACATGAGTTTTGAGAGGACACAGTTCAGCTCATAACAGTGGACTAGCAACATAAATTCCCAAGAGCTGGCTACATATTCCCTAGAGACCATAACATTCTTTGCACCCCATCCCAGTCCTTCTTGAGCAGACTTTTGAACCTGAGATGAGCATCAGAGGATGTTCCAACTGGGAGGAACCAGCCTCACAGCCAGACACAGCCCCTTTGACCATTATATTTCCTAGGAAACTTAATACATTAGCTTGCTGGTTGGTGAGCTAATCTCCTGAAGTTTGGTTAAGATGACTCAGTTTCTCTGGACCTGATCACACCTAACTGGATGGATAAAATGTGTTTTTTAAACTAACAAAGCGGGGGCCAGATATTGCCCCTGCTGTGCCTCTATCAAGAGAGCCAAGAAAAAGGAATGAGCTCTGACTGAGGGTCAACTATGCAGCAGGGACTGACTATGTATAATAATAGCTCACATGTCCTAAACTGCATTGGGCACTTTCCATCGGCATCATCTCATCTTTTGCTTACAGTGTTTCTTTGAGATAAAGGTACTATGATCACCTCTAGATTAAAGATGGGGAAATTGAATTCTACCTCTGAAACTAATAATATAGTAAATGTTAGTTAAATTGAATTGAAATAAAATTTTTTTTAAAAGATGAGGAAATTGAATTCTAAAGAAGGTACTTATCAGTCATACAAACAGAAAATAATGTGAAGCTTCCAATGCTCTTAGCTACAATCCCACATATAGTTCATTGATCTCACTTGATTTTGGAGGAGCAAAAATGGTTCCTCTATCCTCTTATGTTCTGGAACTTGGGCCTGTGATTTAAACTGACAAAAGACAGACAAGAGAAAAGCAGACAGATTTTATTAATATGGTTATATGCATGGGGACTTCACAGGAAGGATGTGAAAACCCAAAGAAGTCGTTAGCATTGGGGGCTTATATATTATTTTACAAAGAATGATAAATTGTGGAGAAGTGATTAGATAAAGGAAAAGGTGTTGGGGCTCTGAAGGACAGTCAAGTGTGGGAAGTTGACTAGGAACTGTGTGGTAGACAAGGGTTGTTAAGTAAGATTTGCTGTGCTGACTTCAACTCCAGGCGCCCTCTGCAGTGATTAAGCTGTTTCTCTTCCTGGTATGGGAGAGAGGAATAGCTTTACAAATGGAAGTTTATGTCACGTCTGCGAAGGGGAATTTATGCCCTGCTTTTAGGTAGAGAGGGGGAGGGCAGAGAGCTCTTCCTATGTCTGCTGTTTCTCAGTTGCCTTTAGCTTAAAATAATAAAAATAATCCTTATGCCAAAGTGGCTTATTTCGGGATGAAGTATCTGGATCCCCTTCAGTTTCTACAATCGTTAGAGACAAGGAAGGAAAATGAAGGCAAGAGTCGTCCAGGGTGATAAGGTTAAGAAGCTGAAACTAGACTGTAAGCTGATCTTTCTGACTTCAGAAGCACCAGTATATGTACTATATAAATAGAATTTTGTAAATAAACATTTTGTTTCAGAACTGTTTTAGATTTACAAAAAAAATCACAAAGATAGCATAGAGTTCTCATATACTCTGCACCCAGGTTCCCCTGTTACGAACGACTCACATTAATTAGTGCGGTACATTTGTTACAAATAACAAATCAATACTGCTATATTATTATTAACAAACCAAAGTCCATTCAGATTTCCTTAGTGTTTATCTAATGTCTTTTTCCTGTCCCATGATCCCATCCAGGATGCCACATTGCGGTTAGTCGTGACTCCTTAGACTCCTCTTGTCTGTATCAGTGTCTCGGACTTTCCTTGTTTTTGACGGCCTTGACAGTTCCGAGGAGTGGCGGTCAAGTACTTTGTAGATACTTGGGATTTATCTCATCTTTTTCTCATGATTAGACTGGGGTTACACGTTTTCGGAAAAGACCACAGAGACAGAGTGTCATTTTCATCACATCATATCAACAGTAAGCCCTATCCACAGGACTTATCACTGTTGATGTATGTCAGGTTTCTCCACTGCAAATAAAGAGAATTTTTTAACTGCCTTTTCCTCCTGGATATTACTTCATTCTCACATTTCTGTACAGCAGCAGTCTCCAGTCCTGTGCTTTTACAATAACTCCATTGTGTTGATGTACCCTGTAGTTACTGCTTGTTATTCTATTTACGTGAGGGATTCGTTTTTGCTTTTGTCCTTTGTGAGCGAGTTTTTGCGCTTGTGTGTGCAGTGCGTGCCCACGTGTGCGTGCGTGCGTGCGTGTGTGTGTGAATGAGTAAGTGGCTTGCTGGTGGTTTGTTAATTCATCTAAGGACTCTGCTGACCAAAATCTAAGAGTTCTTTTTTTTTTTTAAAGATTTTATTTATTTATTTGAGAGAGCGAATGAGAGACAGAGAGCATGAGAAGGAGGAGGGTCAGAGGGAGAAGCAGACTCCCCGCTGAGCAGGGAGCCCGATGCGGGACTCGATCCCGGGACTCCAGGATCATGACCTGAGCCGAAGGCAGTCGCCCAACCAACTGAGCCACCCAGGCGCCCAATCTAAGAGTTCTAAGAGGGCTCCAGACCAGTGTTGGAGCAGTAGTAACAAGCAGAGGGGACTTAGCAAGTGACCACGCTGGGGCACCGAGGGGAGGTGGGAAGATTAGAAAAAACTTCCTGTGGGCCTCAGTTTTCTCAATGATGAAATAAGGTGGAGGAGATAGATTCTGTGAATTCCAAGGTCACTTCTCACTCGAAACCACGGATCTGCGGTCGGAGGGCAGGAAAATAAGGTGGGTTCTCTCTTCCTGTAACAACTTAATTTCTTTAGTAGTTCATTACAAGCTAAAGCATTAAAAAGAATCCTGATTCCTAATCCCTGGAGGTATTTCTTTGGCTGGAGTCTCTGGTTTAATGAAGATGTAAACATTCTTGTGGGAACAGATCCCAACTCATTGCTTCGCCCACACTTGCTTCCACGGAGAAGCTCTGTCCCATTCCTTCTCAGCGTCTGCTGTGTTTTCTAGGTCTTTCTTGCTCCTTTGTGTACAGCTGCGGTGAGAGAGACTTAAAAGGTTTATTGTTCATCCTCCAGGAGCATTTTTCTAAATCGAGGTGGGAACATACCCAGTACATAATCCCCTTTCTGGCCAAAGCTGTCCCCATTTCTGCATTTATTTTAAGGTAAAAGTCAAAGTCTGAAAGTTTTCATTCTTGCATTGTGAACCTGAGAAAAATCACAGTTCATTTTTTTGTGTCCTTGGTCATCTGCCAGAAAATAAAACCTTGTGGAATTTATGCCTTTTGTTTTTTAACATTTCTTTAATTAAATCCTATATGCTAACTCAGTCACACTAAATACTGTATGCTGTTGCAATATTTCCTTTTTCGACAAAATACCTTAACACTCTTCTATACGACAATTAATTTTTGTATGTTAGCAACTTATCCATTTTAGCAGGCACCGAATATGCTACATTTTGACTTCTGGTAGAAAAGGAAACGTCTAGGAAAATGTCATCATACCCCAGTTTGTCTTGCACGCATTTCCTCTCCTGAGTGGAGAATTAAGGTTAAGTGGAGAATTAAGGTTATTCTTCTATCAATTTTGCCTTGTTTTTCTGTAGCCCCATTAAAGAAAAAAAACCTTTCATTTTGTGTGGTCAATTCCTCTGGGTTCACTTACATCAGCTTTGGCTGGGTTGATGTTTAAAACATTTCAGAGGGGTAAATAATTTATTTGAAAGCTAGTGGAGAAAGGCACTTAGAAAAATTAAA